CATCACAGCCTGAGGTTCCCAAGTGTTTGGCACCAAGTGCCACAGCACAAAACTGTTCTCCACTCCTTGGATGAGAATCACATTTCCCTCTCTCCACACAATCTCACTGCAACTACCAACTGCTGCTTTGGGGTTGATTTTTCCACTCTTAGACAAGCTAATGACAACAAGAACAGGATTATCTCCTCAAAAAACAACCCAATATCCTATAGTTTTCTCAACTCTTAAGAGCACGTTATTTTTCCTGTGATATCCACTGAAAGATTCCTGGATCTTTCCATCTCATGACTTTACATTGCCACATGCTCTGCTCACCTCTGGTGAGTTTTTATCCATGTCTGTCAAATCCTTGGAAAGAACTGAAAGGGCAACATCTTTCTGCAGGTGCCACAGTGTGGTTGAATAGATCTCCATGCCTTCCACTCTGTAGTTCTCAATCCTCCTTACTTCTGAAAATATCCTCTCAGCCTAGGAACAGAAATCAAACTCACAACAAAATTCCACCCACCAAAGAGCATGAGGTTCATGTCCAGCCTGAGCATCCTCTTTGCTGTGTGAGTGTTCCACACAGAGTCCTGGAGCTTTCCCTTCCAGAGGAGGAAGTGACTGTAGCCCAGGATAGTTCTGCCAGCAGAAGTACAGCCAACTCCTGCTGACTCACACTGCATTCTTGTCTCTATCAGAGCTCGAGTGAGGCAAAAATGTTACCCACAAAATCAGAGAGTGTAACAGACTTATGGGCCAGTTATGACGATTAACCATCCTAATAAACAGTGACAGGACAAGGGACAATGGTTTTAAACTGCCAGAGGGCAGAGTTAGATGGGATATTGGGAAGGAATTCCTCCCTGGGAGGTGCTGAGGCTCTGGCACAGGTTGCCCAGAGAAGCTGTGGCTGTTCCATCCCTGGGAGTGTCCCAGCCCAGGTTGGATGGGGCTTGGAGCACCCTGGGCTGGTGGAAGGTGTCCCTGCCCATGGCAGGGGGTGGAACTGGATGATCTTTAAGGTCCTTCCAACCCAAACTATTCTGGATGGTGTGATTAGGGTCTTTAGCCTCAGCTTCCAAAACAAACTCTTAAGTAGCCCAATGTGCTCCATCTCTCAGCAGACTCTGTGTGCACAGTTAAAACCTCCTGTTTGTCCCTTACACATGTCCTAGCAAAAAGTGTTTTCAAAACTTCAGAAATGGGCACAGCAGCTGCCAGCACAGCAGTGCCAAGGAAAGTTAAACTGTGGGATTACCCTTAACTGCTCACACTTGTGTTTCTGAAGCAGTTTGCCATCACCTCAGCTGTGCCAATGCTTCATTTCTGAGGCTGCAAAGGAAACTAGGTCACTGATGTGATCTGCATTAACTACAACAGAGAGAAGGTTTTGGTTTAGAGCTCAGATTGTTCAGTGATCTAATTTACAACCTTGGCTAAAGCCTTGAGCAACCTGCTCTGGTGGGAAGTGTCCCTGCCCTGGGCAGGGGGTTGGGACTGGATGATGTCTAAGCTCCATCCCAACACCTTAACATCCTATGAGTCTATAAAATTTTCCACAGACTTTGCAGGAATTCTGCAGGTTTTGGGCAAAACTGTCAAACCAAAGTGAAAAGAGGCAGAACCAACCCTCAGAGCTCCTACCTGCATGTACTCTGCCAGTTCAAAGTAAGCTCTCCCTATCTGGCACAGCACCCAGCCCGTGTTGTAGTGGTGAGATGGTAAATGGCTCAAAATGTGGATTGCTTCTTTGCAGTTGTAGGAACACAAGGCCAAGTAACCTTTTCCCATGTCCCGAAGAAGGCTCATCAAACCTTCTGGGAGAAAAACACAATAAATAAAAGGTGGAAAACAAACAACAACAAAACAGACAGCTGAGATTTATTTACTGCAAACTGCTGAACTCTCTCCTGTGTGGCAGGCACTAAATTGGTCTATGGAAATCTTTCAGGAGTTCCCAAACAGTAATGGGACAAAGAGCAATGGGGATAAATTGAATGAGGGAAGTTTAGGTTAGATATCAGAAATTTTTCCCCTGTGAGGGTGGTGAGAGAGTGGCACAGGTTGCCCAGGGAGGCTGTGGCTGCCCCAACCCTGGCAATGTTCATTCCAGGTTGGATGAGCCTTGAGCAACCTGCTCTGGTGGGAGGTGTCCCTGTCCAGGGATGGGGTTGGGGCCAGATGATCTATAAACTCCATTCCAACCCCTTAACATCCTATGCAGCACAGGTTAATACACTCTTAACTTGAGGATAATATTCTGAGCATCAACCTCTGCAACACAAGTCAGATGTAACAAGTTCTTAAGGAGCTCTGGAGTTCAGGGCAGGTGGAGTTGTGCATTTACAGCAGCTATTCAAACCCTTTGCTAGGTCTGAGCACAGTTCCCACACGCCTGGTATCCATGGATACACCTTCTTGCTGCCTGGAAACATTATTGAGCCAGAAGAGAGAAATTCAGCACTTTGCTTAGGGTTTTCTGACAATCTGAATTAAAGGCTTGTTTTTAGACAAATGGGAAATGCAAAGGGAGAACAGACTCCACAAACCCCATTTTGAGGGGAGGTGAGTGGGCTATGAGTAACTCCTCTGAACCAGTTTCCAAGGAGCTTGCAAGAGATCAGCTTACAATTAGCCACTTCTAACACTTCTTCACATACTGTGTAAGTTCACGAGAACCAAATCCATTTGAGTAATCACACAAAGGTGAAGAGAAGCAAACACTGAAACACCTTTTTTCATGCAACCTTAAAACATCAAGTTTTACCCTACTCCAGCCCAACAGTGTTCCAACAGACCTGCTGCTGCCTTCTGTAGGGTGAATGCTTGGATTTGTGGTGCAACAGTGGAAATCTTCCCTTCTGAAATGATGGATGAGTCCAGCTTGGTAATTTCCAAACTGTCATTTAAGTTTGGTTGAGTTATTCCTCCCTTATTCGTTTTGCTTTTTGTTTTCCTGTTTGGAATCTTCGGTGGAAACTTCATTTTTAATTTTTTGCTATTTTCCTGTAAGTAAGAAAAAGCAAAGTTAAATATAAAGAATCTTTAAATCCGAGAAGTAAAGTTGAGAGAGGGAATTGTGACAAGTTATAGGTAACAACCATGCCCAGCCATGCTCTGCTCAGTGCAGGATCTGTTCTTAAGCTGCTGGGAAGGTGGGGAAAGGAGCAGTTGGCAGAGTGGGATGGATGAGAAAGCCACAAACTCCCCAGAGGATGAGGTTTGTTACCTTTGTTGTGGAGCTATCACTAGTAAACAGGCGAGAGCTTCGTCGAGGCAGTGCGTTGGGTGGAGCAGCAATTGTTGGGCTCAATACCTGAGGTGTTGTACTAGAACAAACAGCAAACAGAAAAGAAATGTCACAACAGCAGCTTTTGTCTTTGTTTGAACAAAAACACTCAAGTACTATAGCATGGGCATTCTCATTTCCAGGGTGTACACTCAAGCACATCAAGAACGTGAGCAGAAGTTGCTTCCAACTACTCTTCAACTTACTGCTGAAAAGGTGTAACTGCTCAGCAGTAAGTTTAACTGTTTAATTTCAATTATTTTAAATTGAAACTCAACATTTAACTGTTTAATTTCAATTATTTTAACAAGTGACTGGAGTTATTTCACCTAACAAACCCACACACACTTCCATCACACGGAACACCCAACATCCACCCAAGCTGAGCCAACAGCACCAAATTCCTCCAAGAAAAGCAATCCCAAGGTGATTTTTGTCTTACCTTGTCTGTGGACCAGAGCTCTGTGTTTGTGCAACAAGAATTGGAGTGACTTCCCGGCTGTTCCCACTCTGGGAGAAGACAGACTTTGTCCCAGCTTGGCTTATCCTGCTCACAGTCTGCACAACACAAAGTTTCTACAGGTTTGTTATTATGTCACTAAACAATCTCCATCTCTGCTCCACCACAGCAAACCCTTTGTGCCCAAACTCTGCACAAAGATAAACACAATTACTTCCCTAATGAGGGAGGATTTTTCCCCATCCCAGGGAGAAACCCTCAGGAGGATTTCTCACTCCTCAGGAGGATTTTTCATTCCTGCCCATCTCAAGGAGAAACCCTCAGGTGTATTTCTCATCCCTCTTAACCTATCAGTAACACTGAGTTTAACAACTTTATGCACATTATTTAAAGGACATAAAATCTCCATCTAGTGGCAAAAAACCTTAGTTGTTTGTGCAAGAATAAAAGGGAATTAAAAGGTGTCATATCTAAAGTTCCTTCCTTGCAGAAAGATGTAAAAAAAAAAAAATAAAGAAAGAAATAAGGAGATTTTTGAATGATCCTATTACAATCCCATCCAGCAGCTTTCCACCACTGAGGGACACCCAGCACAGCACCTGAGCCTGATACTGCCTTTAGCACACCTATTCATAGCCTAAATCCTATTGCCCAAACTAATTCACTGCTGCACAAGGCTCTGGAACAGACACAGAGCTAAACTGCTTCCCCAAGGAGGGCCCTGCACTAAGCAGCAGAGTTAACAGATCCCTACAGGCAACTTCCTGCT